TGGCAGTCACAGTGAAAAGGGAGAGAACTGTGCAGATTTCAGAGGCGAGTTGGAGAGATCAGCATTTTTTTAAAAAACAGTTTTGCACTGCAATCTACAGGAAGAAGTAGATGGACACCACGACCCAGTGTCCATGTTTATACACATATGAACATGCTTGTGCCCATGTCTGAACGTATGTACATGCACACACTAGAGTCACTAAATAATAATTGCATGTGATGATCGCAGTTCTGAATCAGTTCAGAGAAACTGCTCATGAAAATCCAGTTACAGGTCAAAACACGTGGTTTAAAAACCGTCCTAGCACAGGGCACGGTTGCATGTGGGCCGACGGCTGAGCCGGTGCTGCCGAAGGCACTGCCACGCTCACCGTCCAGCACAGGAGGGAAAGCGACAGAGGCGCTCTGCACGGCACACTTCTCCCAGAGCCGGTTCCTCTGCAGCCAGAGGTCCCAAGGCGGCTGCTGACCTGAAGCCTGTAGCGCTGCCTGTGCTACTTCAGCCACGAGGTACCATGTGCTGTCTCCTGGCGTCGTACCGGTTGATCACACTGCGCGGCTTACTCAGGTGTTCCCGGGCACAGATCACAGCCAGGCTTGCAGCAAAGCTGCTTTTCCGTGCTACTGATTCCCGCGTGGTATTTCGGGAGTCAATCTGTTGCTAATCTTAAAGTGCAGTGCAAGAGGATGTTAGATCCAGCTGCGACTGCCCTTTACGGGTTATTTTATAAACCGCCTGAAGTTGTGGAGCACACACAAAGCAACAGCAACAAAACACGGCGCCGACCGCACTTGCTCCCTGTGTCACCAGCGAACAAAGCAGATGCCAGGAGCCGAAGGGCAGCGAGCCTGCGCTGTCCGCTCCAGAAGCCCCTGGGGTTGGCAAGGCAGTCGCCTGCTTAGGAGGACTTGAAGTGCATCTCACATAACTTCACCTTTCTAAACTAGTCGTCCTCATTCTGCCCTCCATGGTGGAAGCAGGTTATGGTGCCTTCTCACTTACAAAGCACTCCTGCACCCGTTATCGTAATAGCTAGCATTCCTGGGCATTGAGTAATGTGCCGGTCACACTGTACTGACCACTTGATGTGTACTGTCTCCCAGAAGCCTCAGCCCAAACCTACCACGGTACCAGCACTGTTCATTTTGTAGACCAGAAAATTCAAGTAGTTTGTCCAGGCCCACACCGTCACTGAGGGGTGAGCCATGATTCAAACTTGGCTTGTCTGTCTGCAGAAGGCAAACATTTTTTTTTCTTTTTCTTTTGATAGGCAGAGTGGACAGTGAGAGAGACAGAGAGAAAGGTCTTCCTTCTGTTGGTTCATCCCCCAATGGCCGCTGCAGCCGGCACACTGCGCTGATCCAAAGCCAGGGGCCAGGTGCTTCTCCTGGTCTCCAATGCGGGTGCAGGGCCCAAGCACTTGGGCCATCCTCCACTGCACTCCCGGGCCACAGCAGAGAGCTGGCCTGGAAGAGGGGCAACCAGGACAGAATCCGGCTCCCCGACCAGGACTAGAACCAGGTGTGTCGGCACTGCAGGCGAGGATTAGCCTAGAGAGCCGCGGCACCGGCCATGAAGGCAAACTCTTAACCCTGGGTTAGACTCATCTGTTCCTCTAAATTCCCTTTTCTGCAGCTGGGTGATGCCAGTGAATGAATGCTCACACTAGGACCTGAACCCAAACCATCAGTGCTAAGTCAGGGCTCTCCCAGCACCTTCCACTGCCATGTGGTTTAAGAGCTCCCAGCACTGCCCGTGTCAGTGGCATTCACAGGCAGAGAGCACAGGCGGAAAAAGAGAAAAAGCTACTTGAGGGTCCCAGCTATAGGGCACTGGTGGCGTGGGCACTCTCTCTCCACTTAGAGTCGAAAGGGAAACACGAGCAAAGAGTGCACATCTAGATAAGGCGGGGGAAACTGAAACGTTACTTCACACTAATTTAAGGCAGCTGTATCATCTGTAGGTTAGAAGGCAGAGAAAGAGTTCACATGACAGAGAAGGGGTGGCGTAGGGACTAAATAAGAACACGTGTTTAAATATTTAAAGAACATCTGAATCTTGACGTGTCAAAGTCCATAATAAAAATGAAAGTAAATGAAATAAAGCTAATATCTTTCATAAGAGCAAAGTACAAAAAGAAATTCTTAATATTGGAAGCTCCAGAGAGCAATCTTGCAACGAGAGAATAAACTCCAAACTAGCCCACTGCAGTTACAAAGCCATGCACTTACAGACTTCACTGTCCCAGTAATGCACAGGCCAGGGCAACAGAGCAATAATCTAAACCAACTGCTTTAAAACAGCTCCTTAAATCCCGCTCTGCGGAAACAACTATCAAAGCCCAGTGAAGTCTAACACGGACACTGAGAACTGGCAACATTCGGAAAATGGGTTTTGAAAGCCAGTTATGGCGAGGTAGCTTATTCCAGCCTCCTCTTCCCCAACAAGCTGCTATTACAGCTCTAACTCTGGGCATGCACTTGTTCTTGGATCCCCGGTAGTCACTAGGCCTGATGGAGCAGTAAATTCAAGATAACGTTACAAATACTCCTAGTTTATTTTCCAACAAATATGTGTAAATCAAAGTAGAAAGGCTGCTTGTATTTTTTTAAATGTTTAAGAATGCTGCCATAGACCAGAGTGCCAGGCTGAGAGGCAGTTTAAACGGAACACGACTTCAAAAGCAAAATTCATTATGATGAATGTGCCAAGTGAAATTAGAAATACACTAATACTAATTGGATCTATTCGGAACGTATTAAACTTCTGAAGGTATTTTTATGAACCCTTCTCAGTTTCCCATTAACAGCCACGCATGGCTGCCCTGTGCATGTACCCACAATTTGACACAATATAGGTTATTACGCTTAATAACTTTTGATCTCTCAGAGTGAGTGCATGGCTTGAAGAAATGAAAAAAGCTACAGTGTGAAAACATTACTTCTCAAAGGAAGGGAAAATGAAATATTAAAAAAAAAAAAAAACAACCCAGGCTCTTGACAGAGTAAATATGGTTGTGTTTCTTCAGATGCAAGAATTGCAGAGCCGGAGGGTCACCATGAAAATATAATATACAAAAATTGGAAATTGACAGCCTATGGAAAACAGAAACGATTTCGTGAATGATCTTAAAGATACTGTCAATCAGTCGGCGCCACGGCTCAATAGGCTAATCCTTTGCCTGCGGCGCCGGCACCCCAGGTTCTAGTCCCGGTCGGGGAGCCGGATTCTGTCCCGGTTGCCCCTCTTCCAGGCCAGTTCTCTGCTGTGGCCTGGGAGTGCAGTGGAGGATGGCCCAAGTGCTTGGACCCTGCACCCCATGGGAGACCAGGAGAAGCACCTGGCTCCTGCCTTTGGATCAGCGCAGTGTGCCAGCCGCGGCGGCCATTGGAGGGTGAACCAACAGCAAAGGAAGACCTTTGTCTCCGTCTCTCTCTCTCACTGTCCACTCTGCCTGTCAAAAAAAAAAAATAATAATAAAAGATACTGTCAATCAATTGATCGTACTTTCCACGGTGGTTAGTGGGACAGCCTAGGACATTCAAAGACCCCTCGGCTGGTCACCACTTAGGCCAGTCTCATCAGTTCACACCAGTCTCCTGCTGACTCCGCCAGAAGCAGAACTCGGGGCTTCATGGGAAAAACGTGCGAAAAGCCACCCGATGTTCTTAAAACTGGCAGCAGGGCAAAAAGCAAAGAAACGTCGCCAGGGTTTGCAAATATGGACAGAAACATCAAGTGCTGTAAGGAAAGCAAATGAGGTAGTGTAAGTGCAGCTCCTAAATGCGCGGTGCATACAGGCACTGAGGCGTCACACTTCATTCTGGACAGCTCGGGAAGACCAGGCCACGCCACGAGGGCATTGTTCTCCTTCTATGGCCATTGTTGCAGGGGCCTCTGAACCTACGAACAAGTACCCAGCATTCACTGCGCTATGCAAACAAATTAGGGTGTTGCACACAGACAACAGCAGCTTCATAGCTTCATTCCAGGAATATCTTGGTGCGGGGTGGTGTATGGCCACAAGGCAGGGCGGGGTTAGGAACGTCTGGGTTTGCACATGGACACCGATGGGCAGGCCACCCTCCTGTCCCCTCTCTGTCCTGCCCACCGCTGGACTGGCTGTAAGCACACCTGCTTCACCACTGGGCGTTTCTTGCCACTGTACACAAATAACCTGCTCAGCCTGTGTCTGATGTCCGTCGCGTCCTCACAGAGGAGACTTTCAAGACCAAAGACAGCACGCGACGCCACCGTGAGACAAGTATTTGTTGGGTGAGGATGTGGGTAGCGAGCCAAATTCCAATTCTCTGAACGCAAGGAGGACTTTTGCTATTGCACAAGGTACAGTGTGTTTCTGATGCAAAACATCTATTTTTACACATCTTCAATTAAAAACAGGCCTATCAGACTGACAGCTTCCTCCACTGCTCAGTTCCCGTCACGCTGCAGACAGCAGAGAAGCCCTTCACAGCAGCCACAAGGCAATCTTCCAGTAAGACTTGTTAATCTTTATACGGTCATCCTCGTGCAGCCATCAAAGTGAACTTAATGACAAATCAGTTAAAATAAATTACTGTTAGGAACTTGTAAGGATCGGATAAAAAGCAAACCATATGTGACATCTCTTCGGTCCTCCCCGTGACAGCAGCTAATTGTTACCATCTGTGCGGGTCACTGTGTTTTCCCAGATCCACTCTGTGCCCTTCTGGGTCCTGCCCGGGCCCCGGGAGGCTGACCTCCGCCGCTCACGCTCACGGGCTGCATCTGCTCAGCTGTGACCTTGCTCTCCGGCCTCCAGCGAGGCTCAGCCACAGGGAAGAAGAGCTCCGAGCATGGGAGGCGGGGAGAGGGCAGCCAGGCAGCCCCCATTCCCGCCCCGTACGCCTTCACGCGCAGGCGTGCTCACAGGCCCTGCCCCCCCCTCCAAGTCCTTCATTAGGCTCTCCTAGCCTGCACACTTGTTGCTGGCCAAGGCCTCGGCTGGGGTCACTTACATGCACCGTGTGCAGCAGATCAGCCACCAGACACTGCCTCAGCTTCTCGTCGCTGCTGGTCCCGTGGAGCACCAGATCCGGCATGTACGTGGGGCAGTACCCTGCCAGGAGGGAGCGGCCGAAGTTCCTCACGTTCTGGCTGCTGATGCTCTGTGACCTAAGACGACATTTGGCCGTTAGAACACACAGGTGAACGCACTTCCTTCTGCATGACGATTGGAGCGACAGCCTATGACACAGGTAAATAAAACCAGTTCAGGGTGCTGCACCGCCCCAGCCCTCCAGCAAGTGGGTCACTGGTATGGGGGAGGGAAGGGGACGGGAAGGGGACGGGAAGGGGACGGGGAGAGAAAGTTTTGTTTCCAAATGGAAGGCTGGAGGCTGCTTACAAGTTTGTCCTTGTAGCTCACAGAGAGCATCCACCAGGCAGCCTGTGTCACCGGAGTGAAGAAGGAAGTCGCCTGAGCTGGGGACTCTTGCCAGAAGCCTGGCTTTAGTAGTCTGATGTATCTGCACAGGGCAACGCCCAGCACGGTGCGGGAGGAGAGAGGAAACCCCTACTGACTGCTCTCGGTCGTCACAGACCCAGTAACCGGCCTGACGGAGGGCTCAGGCAGAGTGCCGTCTCCCATGGCTCACGCTGCTCTGAGCCGCAGGGCAGAGGCCCCATGGGGAGGGGGGTCTGACCCCTCTGGAGTGAGGCACCTGCCGCCAGCCACGGAGCCTCTGTGATGGTGACAGTAAACTAGACTGTTCCCCACCGCCACGGCCACAGCCACAGCCCCAAGTATCCCAAAAATGCCCCTGTAGCCGCTGGGACAGCCACTGGCTCCCCCATCACACAGCTCAGGCACACTAAGCCAGAAGTTATTTTGGGAAGAGGGCAGCCTGGTCACCTCTTCTACTGGTAGGACAACACTGTCAATGCGCTGCGAAGAGCCACATAAAACCACGTGTTGTATGGCGTAGAGCAGCCACCAGTGCCTAAGGTGACCCCGGGAGTCAGGGCAGGCAAGCAGGACTGCACCCCACTCCCTCTGCTTCCCGCCTGGCCAGCATTACCTGGGCAGAGGCAGCTCCACTTCCAAGGCCCCGTCGGTCCTGTCCCCGCTGTGACTCCAATCCAGGGCGGCTGAAGCACCCGCATCATCGTCACTGTCCCCAAGAGCGCTGTCCGAGCTCTCGTTCCTGGGAATGTTTCCTTCTGTCCTGATGTGGGCCTTCCTGTTGGCATCCCCACGGGGGACACTGGCAGCCGCCGGGAGGCCGGAGTCCTGCTGTACAGCCCGGTTTGCACCAGGCTCTACCAGCGGTCCTTCTCGGTCTTCTAAACCCAAGCCCACGGTTGTCTCCGGCGCTCTCCTTCCAGTTGCGGCTGCGCCGTCCGGAGGGGAGAGCGAGCCGGCGGTGTGGCCAGGGCCCCCGGCAGCAGCACCTGCTGCGGCATCGGTTCTGACATCTCTGTCCTCTGCAAAGCCCCGGCCAGGGTCCCCTGCTGTTCCCCTGCAGCTGCGAGTCTGAGGACAGCGGGCACTGTCTCCCGGGCCAGGTCTGGAGGGGCATCTGGAAACCTGCTGGTCCCGAGCGGCCTCCTTTGGGTGCTGTCCACAGGCCCTCAGCCGCTCCTCCATTTTTCTGGTGCGGCTTTCAAAGTCAGACTCTGGTGACACGGAGCTTCCGATGTGGAAAGTAACCCTCTCCCCGTGGGGCTTCTGCCAGGAGTGTCTGTCGGGGCAAGGCCTGGCCGCTGAGCGGTCCGGCCCTTTCTTGGCCAGCTCCCCTCGGGCCTCCTCATCGGCAGCGGGTTGCCCCGCCCTCATGCCTGCCCCTGGAGCCTCACAGGGGCACAGGAGCAAGGCGTCACCCTCTGGCGCCTCGTTCTTACTTCCTTCAGCTCCGCAAAACGCACCCTGAGGCTGCCAGGCACCGTCTGCCGCCAGCTCTGGGGGCCCCACGCTCTGCTCCGGCCTCTTGCTTGCCTCTTTGTCAGGCGTGGGACCCGGGGCTCTCCCGTCCGTGCCCTCGAGGGTCTCCGCGAACCCTGCAGGCCCGGGGCTCCTCCTCTCCGCCGCGGCTGCGGGTAGGATGGGGGGCACGAGCGCAGGCTCGTTTCTCACAGTGACCACCACGTACTCCGACTCCTCCACCTCCCCCCTCTCCAGGGCCGTGACGATCTGGCGCCCGTCGACGACCTGGCCACTCTCGCCGCGAGCCCCCCTCCAGGTCAGCTGGTTCTCCTGCAGCTCAGAGCACCGGAGGAAGTAGGTCAGGACGTACAGGATGCGCTGGACCAGGTCCTTCTGCTTCCCCACTACCACCGTGCGTGTCAGCCTCACGGGCGAGCCTATGGCTCCGTAGAGGTCACCTAGAGAGTGAAGGGGACACTCAGACAGAGTCCTCGGGCTCAGCAGGCTGGGGGCGTGTTCCCCTTCACAAGGGCCAAACAGACAATTTAGGTTCCCAACTGAGACTCCATTCTTCACACACCGCATTTCTGATTCTAGCAGAGACCATGTCTTAGCTGCTCCTCTATGACCCAGGCCACAGCCCTTGGTGCGTGGGAGTAGCTTGGCTGAGTGCACAGGCCTCCCATGAGCTGGCTGCCTCGGCAGGTGGCCCCACGGAGGCCAAACCAGAACTCTGAGTGTATGATCAGGACAAATACTGTATCTTGGAAATCAGAATGAGAAGAATCCCAGGACAATCCAGGTTGAAGGATATCTGAAGAGAAGTGCAGTGAATCATTTCAAGATACTTAATTAGGTGCTCTGTTTAGAATCTTCTCAGTATTCGCCTACATGCAAACACTGCATGCAGTTTGATCAACGAGAAGACAATCAGAGTCGTGAGTAATGAATCTGAAGGCTGTCTGTATTTTACTTTGCATGGAAATTCTACTGAGAAAAAAACAGCTCCCCTTTGACTATATCCTGACGAGTGGCTGAAAAACTGGCTATCGAACCCTACATTCAGCTTAAGGATGGAAGAAGGGGAAATGTGGCATTAAGGGGCCGGCTTTGTGGCTCAGCAGGTTAAAGCCCCAATCTCTGGTACCAGCATCCCATATGGGCGCCAGCTGCAGTCGGGCTGCTCCACTTCTGATCCAGGTCCCTGCCAATGTGCCTGGGAAAGCAGCAGAGGATGGCCCAGGTGCTTGGGCCCCTGCACCCACCTGGGAGACCCAGAAGAAGCTCCTGGCTTCAGAATGGCTTAGCTCCAGCCACTGCAGCCATCTGGGGAGTGAACCAGCAGATGGAAGACCTACACCCACCCCTGTCTCTACCTCTCTAACTCTTTCAAATAAACAGATCAATATTTAAAAAAAAAAAATTTACCTCAATATATCTTGGTACAACAAACTTGGAGCTAGAAGCCATTAAAAAAAGATTAAGAATGCTGTAACAAATCAAAACCTGAAAAGACCCAAAGTAAGGAAAGGTGGTATCTGGTAAGAGTCATAGATAAGAGCTTGCAGAGTGAGACTGCATTTGAGAACTGCATCTAGGAGAGGGACGGCAGTGATAAGAGCATATACAAGCCAGCGCCGTGGCTCACTAGGCTAATCCTCCACATTGCGGCACCGGCACACCGGGTTCTAGTCCCGGTCGGGGTGCCAGATTCTGTCCCGGTTGCTCCTCTTCCAGGCCAGCTCTCTGCTGTGGCCAGGGAGTGCAGTGGAGGATGGCCCAAGTGCTTGGGCCCTGCACCCCATGGGAGACCAGGAGAAGCACCCGGCTCCTGCCATTGGATCAGCGCAGCGCGCCGGCCACAGTGGCCATTGGAGGGTGAACCAACGGCAAAGGAAGACCTTTCTCTCTGTCTCTCTCTCACTGTCCACTCTGCCTGTCAAAAATAAAAATAAAAAATAAAAAAGAGCATATACAGATAGAAACCACGTTACGAGAAGAAGCAGGACCGGGGGAACCATCACAAAACACTTCCATTAGGAGTATTCCCTAGTGGGGGCTCTAAGAGCAGGGCAGAGTAATAACAGTCCCCTCTGTAGAAGACTAGAGGGGCGTGCATTCGGCAGAGGTTACGATGTCACCGGGGACATCCACATCTCGCGTCGACAGTTTCTGGGTTCGAGTCCCCAGCTCTGCTTCCTGCGCATGCTCACCCTGGAAGGCAGCAGGGGCGTGGCTCAAGCAGGCGGTTCTCTGCCACCCCCACAGGATCTGCACAGCAACCACCATACCGAAGGTGCCTTAACTCATTACCCCACAGTGACCACCACGTAAGGCCTCTCTAGACCCGGGGAGGCCCCGGGCAGCAGACGCTAAGTCACAGGCCCCCGGGGGCTGAAACACGGGTGGGTGGGCTCTGAGCCCCCTGCTCTTCACCTCTGCACCACTGGGTCTCCCTCCTGCACCTTCCTGAACACCCCGACCAAAGCAGGAATCAGGAAGCTTTGAGATCAGGGGAATCCAGAGCCACCTCCTCCACTGAGCAGCTGGCTTCCCCAGGCCACGCAGTACACGTGGCTGAATTCCCCAACCTGGAACCTAGCACAGAAACGGGACAGCGCTGAGTGTGCGAGTTTACTCTCATGTCTGATGAGTGAGAGGCCCCGGCATCCACAACTCCTCAACAGGAACCAAACACAACACCCCCGTCTCACAAGTCCCAAACTATAACCAAACACGCCAGGGACAAGATTCCTTATCATAACCATGCCTAAGTACAAACTTACGGGAAATGAACGTCACCAGTAATCACAATCTGTGCATTACAGAGCACAGAAAGATCATATTTCTGATCTATGGTAAAATTAGAAAGGTGATCAAATTCTGGTGTGTTATTTTTTTTTTCTCTCATTTTCCCCCATCTGATCCATCCCCCAGGTCAGTTCTCAACCAGGGAGTGCCTCCCCCACACCCACCAACCTGGGAGACTGATGGAAATAGCTGGAGACATTTCTGACTGTTACAACTTTGGGCAGAAAGGGTCTCCCGGCAGCTGGTGGACACAGGGGCCGGGATGTGGCTAAATGCTCCGTCATGCACAAGACAGCTCTCCCTTGCTGCCCTTCCACAACTCCACCAAGAACTAGCAGGTCCAAAATGTTAATAGTGCCAAGGTTGCGAAACCCTGCTCTAGGGTGGACAGCCACTGTGCCATTGAAGCACCCCGTTTACCTATACTGTTTTAAAGGAGAACAAAGCAGGTAGGAGGAGAAAGGAGAGGAAGGCGGCAGCCTTGCAATCAGAATCCGCAGGCCATCCTCCCACTCCCTGCGTGCCCAATGACAACCTTGGAATTACTGGGTGAGAGGGCCAGAATAAATTATGAACTGTAGCATTGTTCAATTCCCTCCCACGTATTTCCCTGAAAGGTTTAACTGATACGAACCCAGCTGCGCCCAGAGAGGGTTGTAGGGATGTGTTTTGGCCAGCATGTTCACCGACTGAGAAGTGCGTTTCTCTGAGAAGGCTTTAATGGGAGGGTGGTCCACGGGCATGACAGTCGGGACCCAGGCCAGGTGGTAGGTTAACACTGCAGTCAGTAGGGCAGCAAAAAACCTGGGAGAAGTGGAAAAACAACAAAACCAGATCAACACAGGAAGCAGCACGTCCTGTGCCGCAGATACGCTGGCTACAGAGTTTGCACAGAGTCTCCAGAGAGCTGACGCTTACTGGTTTTTGTTGATCTGTTCTATCAGCAGTGTGAACTCCTTGAGAAAGCGCTGGCAGAGCTGGGTTTTTTCCAACGTGCTGGACATCATGGTGAGCCACACAGGTTCAGCTATCCTTGGAACAGAATATAGGTTCGAGATAGTCCCTCTGTAGAAGAGAGAGAGACAGGGTATACTGAACTGTCACAGGTCTTCTCATTACTCTTGATGTAAAAGAATAAAGGAGAAAATGATAATTTGGATCTACATGGTCTTTAGGTATTCGAACAGTGTGTATATAACAGAGACTGGAAAACTAGAGCCCACAGGCCCAATCTGTCCGTCGCCATTTTTGTAAATGAAGTTTTATTGGAGCACAATCACAATCATTCATTCATAGACAGTCTACAGCTGTTTGTGCTGGCCAATGGAAAAGCTGAGTAGTTACAGCAGATACCCTTTACCAAAAAAGTATGCCAACCTCCGACAGAAAAAAATCATTAAAAAAAAAAAACACTTATTTTCACAATGTCTTGTGTCAGAATTTACAACCATTTTTACAGTAAAGAAATAAACAGAAAAACAAAGTGTGAGGGTATTTTGAATAGTTCACAGACAAATGGAACTAAAAGTTAAATTTATTTTGGTGCAAAAGAATTGAAATCCACGTATAGTTTTCATAATACACATTTCCATGAAATTTTTGAAGATTCCTTGTGTGCATGAATTTCGTAAATTTTTTTTTGCACCGGAACACACTTATTTTTAAATTCCATTTGTCCACAAACTTTGTTTTTTAAACTTTCTAGTTTATTTGAGACGCAATGAGACAGAGCTCTTGTTCACTGGTCCCCTTCCCAAATGCTCACAATGGCTGGGGAGCCAAAGTCAGGATCCAGGAACTCAATCCAGGTGTCCCATGTGTGTGGCAGGAACCACTGTCTCCCAGAGTCTGTGGTAACAGGAAGCTGGAGTCAGGAGCTGGAGCCTGGAGTTGACCCAGGCATTCCAATGGACGATGGGGGTGTCCTAGCCAGCATCTTACTGCTAGGCTCTGAACTTCTCTGAAGCACTCTCATGTATGCTGTAACTCCAAGTGTAACCAAAAGCAACTCAATTCTCCCAATTTCTGGCTAATGCTTTGGTTCTCTCAGACAATGCTCCTGTTCAGTTTAGAAGAGAAGAACTATACAAACAGCTCTTCTTTACTACACCATATATCAAGGACTAGAGATTGGGTCACTTGCATAAGACAAGCACTAAATGACAAGATCAGGATGAGAATTCAGGTCTCACTGCCTGGCACAGAAGGCTTTGCACCAAGCCATATGACTGATAACTATTTTTCCAAAGTTTACACTAACTTAGCGTGAGATCTCCTCTGGGTAAAAGGTCACTGTATTTCTGAATCTATAATACATCAAACCTGTGCTATGTCTTCCAGAATCAAGACATGAGACACACTCTGACTTGACTTTCTGTGTGCATGAAAGAAGCAGGACATGAGAGAATCCCGCCTTTCCTGGAAACAGAGCATTGCTGAATTAGGCAGCAATGACCAAGTACGGTTCTGTGGCACTGGATTCGTTCACTAAAACGTGAGGTCTCTAAATGGTAACACTTAATTCTAGGTTGATTGCTGAAAAGAGAGCAAGACCTGTCTGTGTGTACAGCAAGGCTTTCTGGTTCCTGTACTTCCAGTTTCTTGACCTCTGGAAAATTAATGCTTTCATTAAACAAGTTTCCCGATTCGCAGGCACAAGCCTGCTTCTACTCTGACTACAGTAGAACAGCAGGCAAATCCAGTGCTGCCCCCACAAACTACAGAAGGTTTACTGATCACCAGGTTGCCAGCAAAAACCACAACTTCACTTTATTCCTCAAAAGTATGATTTAACCACTGCCAGATGATGACTAACCTGTTACTTTAGCGCTTTATTCATAACCCAGAGTTCCAAGAGGGGCGGTGATTTCACTCCAGTGGCACTACAGAGTTCACCAGTGTATACCTTAACCATCACAAAACTGCTCTCACATTCCATGAACTGCAAATCTGCTTCTCTCAGCTATGCAGCAACAGTCTGACGCATGGGATTCCAGCCCCCACGGACACACCGGCTCTAAACACGTGCTGCAGCAACCCCAGCCCAGCGCGGTGGGCGAGACTCCCACCTGCCACCCACAGCGGGTCCCTCTTCCACCCAGGCACCGGGAGCAAGGGCCCCAGAAAACCAACTTGCAGGGTGCAACGACCATCCCTTGGAAACTGCCTAATGAGGACGCTCTGGGGCGACTGTGTAATTCACTGTGCAGAGGACACCTGGGAGAGGACACAACCAGGACTGTCCTGGCAAACGGGGACATCTGTCTGCGTGACAGGTAACGTCTCTGCATCCACGCTTTGGCCAAGCGTCACTGGGCTCGAGTTCCCACCTCCGTAAAAGAGCGTGATGGCACTTACCCTTAGGGTTTCAGGAGAATGACGTCATGGACTTACAAGGGACAGCGGCTGAGTATTAACTGTCCCCACTCATCCTGCTAACAATCATTCCAGGCTCGGGCAGTGGTGGGCATTAGTCGGTACTGGGTTACTTCAAATTTGGCTTCCTTTGCTCTGTGTCCAGTTGGAAGGGTGGAGCCAGTGAAGTGACTAACAGTGGTCAATCCCCGGCCCCAGTCTTCCTAGTCAGGGTCTCCTCGTACCCCTGGACACACGGCGGCCACGCTGCTGCAGCTCATCAACTCACGTTACCTGAACTCTCCCAGAGCTTCCATCAGGCGACTGACGTAAAACTGGACCCGCAGAGTGGACTCGGCGATCTTCCTACAGGAGATCATGGCCTGCATGGGAGAGAAGAAAGCCACGTTACTCCCTGAGCAGACATTACTGACTGGGCCTCCAGTGTAACCAAGTAAGAACACTCAAGGCAGCGAGGCCTCGGGTCATCCAAGGCAGGGGCTCTCTTCCTAAAGCAGCCCTGCGACCCCATCGCTCTGTGGCCGAGCCGCCCTCCTCGGGGAAGTGATCCGAGACGCCCCCGGGATCGCTTCCTATCCGACCCTGGACCCTGGACTACCACCTTATTACCTTTTCTTTTCTTTTTTTCTTTTTTTTTTTTTTTTTTTTTGACAGGCAGAGTGGACAGTGAGATAGAGAGAGACAGAGAGAAAGGTCTTTCTTTGCCGTTGGTTCACCCTCCAATGGCCACCGCGGCCGACGCACCGCGCTGATCTGAAGGCAGGAGCCAGGTGCTTCTCCTGGTCTCCCATGAGGTGCAGGGCCCAAGCACCTGGGCCATCCTCCACTGCACTCCCTGGCCACAGCAGAGAGCTGGCCTGGAAGAGGGGCAACTGGGACAGAATCCGGCGCCCCGATGGGGACTAGAACCCGGTGTGCCGGCGCCACAAGGTGGAGGATTAGCCTAGTGAGCTGCAGCGCCGGCCCTTATTACCTTTTCAATCGCACTCTTGAGCCTGTTCAGGTGAGATTCAAACAGGGGGAAATGAGAGAAAAAGAAGTCCTGGAAGTTCCTCTGCGCCTCTTCTTTCTCGCACAGGGAAAAGATGATGCTCACGGCGATTTTCTTCCTCCTAACTATGGCTGGGTTAGAGCTGCAGGTCTCTTCAGCCAAGCTGAACATCTCATCTGTTGACCTGGAGGAAAAGGACGTCTGAGAAGCTGTCGTGCACCAGTGTGTCCCACTGGACACAAACTGTACTGCAGGGGACACGCTCAGAGAGCTCATCTAACAGAGGGTCTTCACCAGGAGTTTATCCACCCCCTCTCCTACAGTCGTGAGAAATGAAGGAGAATGCCACACAGCATTATTGTGACGTGAAAGGAAATGGACATCAGGAGCGGCGGGCATTTAAAAGTCCCCTCTTTAGACTCTCGGCCCTCTCCCCGGATCACTTTATGCCACTGGGATGGTGGTTAGAAAGGGGTGTGAAATACGTCTTCATTCAGAACCCAGGCCCCCTGTTTTTGCTTGATAGATACCAACAGAGGAGAACCTCCGAAGAGGCAAGAGCTCATCAGTACTCTAACAGGCATCACATGGGAACATGTACTGGTATTTCTAGGGTTAGTTTCCTAAGACAAATTAAAACTGCTCCATGAACTGACTCCTCTACATGCAGACAGTAAGCCTCGAGATCCACCGAGCTCTCTGGGAAATCCAAAGTGACAGTCAAATCCTCAAAAACCCTGATTCTTTGAGAGATGCCGCCTCTGTGATCAGACAGCCACGGAGCCAATAAATTCTCATTATAAACTCATTTGCCTTAAGGGATAAGCCTCGTAAGTACAGCCTAATCACGTCTCTTGTTAATTATTGTGAAAAGCCACCAGCGCTACCACAACGACAAGAGTAGAAATAAAATAATCTGTTTTTCCTATGAAGACACCGAAACAGAGGACAAAACATATTGCGAATGAAAGCGCCTTCCCTGGCACCCAGCACGTGAGACAACGCATTTTCTCTTTCCGACTCCACTGTTCAGTGCCTTTGCCAGATACGGCAGGGCCCGGCTTCCTCCATTCTCTTCACCACAGATTGCAACTTGACGACGACTTACACGGAGCAGAACTTGAGGCAGCTGCCCCTGCCACCCTTGGTCTACTCACAGTCCACAGTGCTCCTGTGATTTCAAATACATCCAAACTTTATTAACTGCACACACACAGAAAATCAGACAGCCAGGAATCTACCTGCCCCAACCTCAGAAGCATGTGACTGTGTCCCCCGGTCACAGGCCAGCTCCTGGAGACACCGGGAAGGTCTGGCTGATACCGCAGGGAAAGCCGCTCCGTCCAGCCAAGCACCGGCACGCCCGTGATTGCCATGTGCTGCTGTACTTGCTACACGTCACTACCAACCACCAACCGCCTTCTCCGAGAACTCCCGGGTCCTCACCATCAGGACACCCTCATAAGGCTCTCCTAGAATCTCACTTTGCACGCGATGCTCCCTCCTCTTTTCCAAAGTATGTTATCTGGGACACTGTTTGCCTGCAGTACGGGAAATTCATCTGGGCTTCTCCCACAAGACTCACTTGTAACCTTCTCCTCCGTGTCTGGCATCTCCTAGTTTCCTTCTTGCTCTCAAGGAGGGACTGTACTAGTCCACTCATCTTCAGGCCCATCTGGCCTTTAATAATCAGATTCTAATCCATACTGAACCGTATGCGGCTTTCCTCCTCATCTTCCTCTCTCTCTTCCCTTTAAGAGAAAGACTGTTACAGTCACCGCTGTCCTCAGTCTTAACGTAGAAGAGAGTGCCACCTACTGAACTTCTGGAAAACCTGCACAGCCACAGTCCAGCGAGCAGCTCCTACCTGCTGGGCTATTTAGCCCTCTCGACTAAATGCCACAGCGACTTGGCTCTACTTTGCAGACTGGGATCAGGCCCCGGGGTATCCTAACTATAGTTTAAAAATTGTTCCACAACGAAAGGACGATTGAGAATGTTTCCAAAAATATTCCCTCGTATCTTTAACCCCAGGTCACTGGGTAAGTACACAGGCTGCTTTGCAAATGAAGAAACTGAGGCAGACTGCCAATTGCCATGGGAACAGAGTTTCCTAGCAACCACAGAGGAGTCAGAACCCAGGGCTTCGATCTTCTAGCCTGGGCTCATCTCTTGCACATTGGGAATCGCCAGTCTCCTACCCCACATCTGATGCATCTGGGGGTACTCACGCCACCTGATGAGTTTGACAGCTGGAGCCCCGGGGGGAGGGACTGGAGGCAATCACACCAGCCGACAGTCCTCCCATTCAAGCAAAGACCAGTTACACACTTGATTTTTTTTTTCCCTTTTTGATAGAATTTTGTTGATACTGATGAATGGGTATTTATGTACACTGTACGTACCTCAAGATCATAAACAAAGCAAAAACTGATTATTTAAGTGTGCCTCAACAACTGATAATTGGCGTCAGGACTGCTTAGTCGAACTGTTGATTGTGTCAGCTTTGAACTTGGAACTGAATTCTGTGTACCATATGGGATCATACCAAACTGCCATTTTTGTGGATCAAAGAATATCCTATCATTAATGTTATATGGTTAGTTCAATTTAATAATTCAAATCTGAGGCCAGCATTGTAGTGCAATGGGTGAAGGCACAGACTGAGATGTCAGCATCCCATCTGAATGCTGGATTTGAGTCCTGGCTGCTCTACTTCCAATCCAAATCCCTGTTAATGACCTGGGAAGGCAGCAGATGACAGCCTGAATGCTTGGGCTCCTGCCACCCATGTGGGAGACCTGGATGGAGTTCCAGGCTCCTGGCTCCTGCCTGGCTCCTGGCTCCAACAGTTGAGGCCATTTGGGAAGTGACCCAGTGGATGGAAGATACCTTTCATCCTCTGTGCAACTCCACAGTTCAAATACACTTTTAAAAATTTTTTTAAATGAAATGAATAATTCAAATCCACAGACTGAAAGGCTCTCTGGGACAACATGCCTTACTCCTGTAGCTTCAGTAAGCGACGGAACCCCTGAGACGTCTCTTCGCCTACAGGTGGTATCCCTGTACCAGCTGTTACGTGCCCAAGCCCCAGTCTCCATCTGGAATCAACGCACAGCAAGGGGCTCCCTGAGCTCAGTGAGGAGCCAACTGTTCAGGGCCGTGAACAGCATCGCTGACTACCTTAACCTCTGGGGAAGGAAGTTTTCTGATTGCTATGAGTCTTCTCTCCAAGCCTCAAGCAACCCTAATTTTGGATACCTACTGTTCTCCTGTCTCCAGCATAAGAGACTGATTTTCCCCACCCACACAGCTGTCAAAGGGAGTGATCAACGGCAACACTCTTCAAATGCAAGATCTCTGCAGGTGCAGGGATCAGTTCTAAATATCTGCTATGCCGATATCCTCAGTGGTCAGTAAGATGGCACCGGCAGCTGGCTCCCTGGGCATGTGACCCTGCCCATATATGGCCCTGCTCTGAGAGGCGCCTGGGACCTGGTTTAATGCTTTGCCATCGCCACCTTGAAATCTTACAACTTGACCACTGAGCCTGTGTGCGCACAGTGAAGTCTCAAGGGAGCGTGAAGCACGCACAATGCACACAAGCAGTGAGGACGGCAGGCAGCAGTTTGCACATGGGTGGGCTCAGGCCCAAGGGCATACAACCCAGACGACGAACGGCACACGCCCACGTGTCTGGGGCAGCCTGGAATGTCACAAGACCTCAGGGAAGCAAGACTGTGACCCAGACTAGTGGCTGTGACGGCTGTGACAGGGACCACAGCAGTGGGAGGGGGAAAGAAGGGAGGCGTGGGACCTTCGCAGCTCCAGAAGTCACGGTGGGAGGGCATCCATCTGTGGAGCCTGCACAGATATTTATCCCTCCAGGAAATCACCAAAAAATAGAAGCCTACATATGGATACCGCAGTAACACATAGGAGGGAATGACTGGACTGCTCCCAGGAGTTCATGATCTCTGGTTGTGAAGCTGTGAGAACATTGCAAAGCCGATGTTCACTTGGCATAGAAATTAGAGATTGATGATCTAGACAGAAAAACACACACTATTTTCATGTGAAGCTTCAAATTAACAATCTATATAAGGCTTCCCAACTGAAGGCCCAGCGACAGAGTACACAGGCAGGCATTCTGAATTATATACAACTCATGAGGACGTTTTCAGTTTCTGGTTAAGATCGTCATCATTTACAGAAAATGTCAGAGGAAGCATTAAAACAGCTTTACGTAAATGTAGACCTGAATTTAAACTCAGGCTTACACAGAATGGATTTATGTGAAGAATTAAATGTTTTTAGAAAAACTCTTGTGTAAGAGTTACCTAATGTCAATGTACCAAAATTTGTATTTTTAAAGTTTATCAGAATCAGGGCCGGCGCTGTGGCATAGTGGGTTAACGCCCTGGCCTGAAGCGCCGGCATCCCATATGGGCGCCGGTTCGAGACCTGGCTGCTCCACTTCTGATCCAGCTCTCTGCTGTGGCCTGGGAAAGCAGTGGAGGACGGCCCAAGTGCTTGGGACCCTGCACCCGTGTGAGAGGCTCGGAGGAAGCTCCTGGTTCCTGGCTTCAGATCGGCGCAGCTCCGGCCACTGCAGCCAATTGGGGAGTGAACTAGCGGATGGAAAACCTCTCTCTCTCTCTCTTTCTCTCTCTCTGTCTCTCCTCTCTCTGTGTAACTCTTTCAAATAAATAAATAAATAAATATTTAAAAAAAAAAGTTTCCGAATCAATGACGTCACAGCCTATAAAGCTCCATCGACATTTTATCAGCAAAAAGGTCCTTCTCCAAGTCCAGAATTATTTGCCACCTTGCAATTACCAGGAGTGACTAATGTCATTTTCGATGGTATTGACTGAAAGCCAGGTTGCTAAAAGTACAAAGTTTGATGACTTAACAAAGAATTTGTAGAAAAGCAAGCCAGAAAAATTTTATGATGATTCAAGGTAACACATGAGTTATTACCTACATTAAAGTATGGCACAAAAATACTTTTGGAGCTTATGAGCTTATGTTGATATTCATCTATCATCGTCTCTTACATTTTATGAGTAAAATATTTTTAAAGAAAAAGTTCTGCATTTTACTACCTTTAGTAGCACTTTTCTTGCTTTTTGAATAAGGGGCCCTGCATTTTCTATTTTATACCTTATCTGAAAATTACATAGCCTGCCCTGAGTATATTCATGGGCTTTTAGAATGTAAAGATACTTTTAAGTACAAGTGCACAGGAGATTTATTAATTCCCAATGCCAGTTCTAATTCAAATTAGAGTTGTGAAGAATTCTGGAGGAACAGGTTAGGGAATGCTCCTCGATTCTGGATTTAAACGTGAAGGGGTAAAAAAGTACTTGCAGTAGAGAGAAGATACCTACAGGGGAAGAGTTCCAAGGCCCATCTCTTCCCATCACAGGAGCCAGCGCGACAGGGAGGATGCTGGCAGTCCCACAGCCGCAGGGGCGGTGATGACGCCGTCAGCCAGGCTGGCCAGCGTCTCACTCACCACATCCCGCGTCAAGGGGCCAACTAAGAACTTGCCTTGCCCTGTCTGCCTGAACCTGCCCAACCACGCTCTGAGGCTGGCAGAACTGTCACCATACGCAGAGGAGAAGGCAACACCTGGAATCCGGGTTAACCTGTTTGGTCACATATCCACGGAGGGGCCGAGGTGGGCCTTGTCCTCACACCAAATTCCAAGCTCTTAATCTCCCACTTGCAGTCCACCAACCAAGAAGCAGCTCCCCGTGAGTGATGCAACTCTAACCTGCGCTTCCATCTAGCTCGCCAAGACTGTGAGAACCACGGAAGAGAGGAACGCAGTCTGACGCGTGCTTTCCCCACGCCCTGACCGACCTCTCACTCCCAGCGTGACCCTTCCCACGCTCCTCACTGTGAACGTCTTTTCCCTCCTCTGACTCCCAGAGCACCTAATACCTCCCCGCTACGGCACGTACCACGTGGTATCCTCTTACTACCACCTGTGAGTCCATCATCTTTCACAGTGCACAGCCTTCAGCAGTGCAGGCAGGTAGCCGAACCACCCGCGCACCCTCACACATCCCGACACACGGTGATCACTACTCCATGGACTGGGAAGTTGGAGACAGAGAGAAAAAGAGACGCAGAGGCAGAGAGCAATCTTCCATCTGTTGGCTCACAGCACAGCCAGGGCTGGGCCAGAACTCAAGCTTGGTCTCCCACAGCAGTGGCTGGGACCCAAGGACTTGAGCCATCGTCTGCTGATTCCCAGGGTGCACGTGAACAAGAAGTTGGGAGGGGAGCAGAGGAGCCGCGACTGGAGCCAGCCGTGACCCGACCACCGCATCACGCCCCCCTGCCCTGCCATGTGAACTTGTTAGGAATACATAAGAATCCCCTCTGAAGTCTTTCAGGAGCAGTAGTAGCTACTGATGTAGCATCAAATGCATGTGCCACACACAACTGAACTTTACAGCTCCAAATCAGATGAAATTCAGGCAGGAAATACCTTGATGCCTTATCATATTCATGTCTGTTTAGTCCAACCATTTACGTTTCACAGAGTACGTCATGAACCCTTCACTGCAAACATTTTCACACACCACACAGGTACCATGGTAGCAAGGGAAGAGTTTATCCCCCTACCCTTTGTTGCCTGAAAGAGCGCTCCCTGCCAAGCACACCATTCCATTACACATGGTGCAACTACCCAGATACGCACGGTGCCTCCCAAACCAACAAAAACAACGCAAGCCTTTATTTATTTTTCTCTTAGGACGTCCAATTTGTAAGCTTTCAGGCTAAGCTGAAGCCAATCCACAACACTTTGGCTCTTCCCATGGATGGCGAAGGAGTACAGCTGGCCTGCCGGTTTCGCCGACTGCCGACTGCCCGCTCCCCGGGCAGGAGGAGACTATAACTCACCTCCGTGGGACAATGCCGTTCTCCAGGCTAGTCGTTTGACTTCGGAGCCAGCGGCGCTGGTAGCTGCTGGAGGAGGACGTGGAGGAGCTGGGAGACGGGAAGGGCGTGATCAGAAGGCTGCTCAGGGAGGCTGCGGGGAAGGAGGTTGGAGAGGCACAGGTGAGCGCAGGCGGTCCTGATGCGGCTACGAAACCACAACGCCGCTCGCCAGCAGCAGTATTGAATAGTACTGAGATGCACGCCGAAACAGGGTTAAGACGGCAAAGTTTATGTGATGTCTACATTAACAGGATTTAAAAAAAAAAACAAACAACATGAAAAAATACACCAAGTAACCTAAAATTTCAGGTTTACCAGGCAAATCCAGCAGGGGGAGACTATAGTAATTTCTTTTTTAGTAAGATTTCCATAAAGCAAAGAAAGCCTATACACAGAAAGACAAACAGGGTATAAGGACTGCAGATCTCACCAACTACATCAATTAGCAGGCCCCACATTACAAATGCAAACTAAGTTAATACAGATTGCCAATGAGATGGCGCAACTCCCACGATGCTCACTTTCACGTATTTCTTTCTCTTGCTTACTTTTTCACTCTGTATCTTGTGGTGAAATTCAGGCAAGTAAGTGTTTTCTCCACACAGCGTCCTGCCTTGCGATGCCCATCTCTAAATATACGACACCTTCCTTCCCTCCAGTTCCCCTAGTATGTTTAAGAGAGAATCCCAGTCTTAAATGTACTTTCCACTTGCATTATTTACTTGCCACCAAGACTTTCTCTGCCTCTCCCTAAAACAAGGAGTCTTCAAAAAGTTCATGGAAAATATCTATTAAAGAACTATGCATAGATTCCATAAAGTTTTTGCACCAAAATAAACTTCTGTTTTTGAATCCCTTTTCCCATCAACTTTTTGAAGTATTTGTATTTACACACACATCACACCTATACGTAGATAGTAGATGCCCACACACGGGCTCTCAGGAGGTGTGAGCTGGTGCTCACAAATGCTTCTAACAGGTGGGGAAGGATGGGTCCCTTTGGGGTAGACAGGTTTCTTACGAGTCAGAGGTATTTGACAGACAGCTACTGGTTTGGAGAAATGGGAAGGGAGACAGACTTGTCCCGCCTTGGCTTTCCAAGGCTGAGGAATTCAACAGTGAGGCGTCACACTCGGTCTAGTGGAAAAGAAAATGGGTCCTGCGGATGACTGCTCAGTGTCCTCAATTCCCAGGACCAAGGAACCTGACTGTGGCAAACACGGCAAACTGTGCACCTGGCTGTCACTTGATACGGCGGTTTCTTCAGATCAACTGTTTCATATTCACACTTTTGCAAGCAGTTGTAAATCATTGACACCCTGGCCATCTGCCAGTGATCAGCAGGTAGAGGCTGAACCGTGCCAGGTGTTCTGTGGGCCCACCGGGACAGAATCTGCCCTCCTGAAGCCGCATCCGTGAACACAACAAGCTCCTTTCACAGCAGGGGTCTATGAGCTCACAGAAAACGTGCAGGCTGGATCCTCGCACCCAGGCCAGCGCCCTGACCAAGGCAGGGGACTCAGCAGCGTTCCGTGAACGTACACAACTCACTGCCTAAGGTGTTACCCAGACGAGGCAGGCCTCAGCCTCTGTTCTGCCCTGGCTCCGGTCTCCAGGCTGGTGTCAATCTCCAAAACCAAACCACGTTTCAAGTATCAGTGAGAAGGTGATTTTAAATGAGGTCGAGGAGAGCTTTGCCTCAAAGTCACACAAATTATAATTTAAAACTTACTTACTCAAGGAGCAGAGTGACAGAAAGAGACAGACGGAGATCATCCTCTTGCTTGTTCACTCCTTAAATGTCTATGATGGCTAGGGTTTGGCAAGACTGAAGCCAGGAGCTGGAAACTCAATCCAAGTCTCCCAAGAGTAGAAGGAACCCAACTACCTGAGTCACCAGGTGCTGGCTCCCAGCGGCACAGGTGCAGGAGGACAGACCTGGGAGGGGAGCCAGGACTCAAACCAGACGCTCCTACACGGGACACAGGCATCCCAAACTACGCCAATCACCCACCTTCACACAGAACTGCTTAATAAAAAATGCCAATGACATTTCTACCCTGTCTCCTGCCTCTCGGTCTCCTACAGGATCCAGAAAACCCTCTTCCAGAAAGCGGGCTCCCGGTTCAAATTCTAGTTCTACAGCTTGGTAGCTGTGACACGCAGGCACTTTGTCAGTTTTCTTACCTGTAAAATGGGAACAATAAAGCACTATGTCTTTTCCTGAAGAACCGCAATGTGCTAGTGGATTTTGGAGTGTTCCGTGGACTGAAACCACCACTTAAAAAAGGCAGAGTATACTGTACTGTTCATGCTAACCCATGGAACTACTGCTCATCATACGCAAGGATGTTTGCCAGTAGGTCATAACATAAAATCCGTTAGCTTGAGTTGTAGCCGAAAAATAAAAAGTTGGAAAACACTGATTTATTGAAGTTTTAGGAAAGATTAAATAAATCAATACTTGTAAAATATTTAACATGATGTCCCAAACAATAAATGCTAACTATTCACTCTCTCTGATGTTTCTTCTTCTTTTTTTTTTTTTAGATTTATTTATTTGAAAGCCAGAAAGAGCAGAGAAAGAGTGAGAGAGCGAGAGAGCTTCCTTTCACTGGTTCACATCCCAGATGGCAGCAACAGCCAGGGCAGGGCTGGGCTGGGCTGAGGCCAGCAGCTTCACCAGGTCTCCCATGTGTATGGCAGGGGCCCAAGTGCTTGACCATCTTCTGCTTTTTCCAGGCCATCAGCAGGAACCTGGGATTGGCAGTGGAGCACTGTGCCCGTACAGGCTACCTGCATCACCAGCAGTGGTCACTTCACCTGCTATGCCACAATGCCAGCCCTTGACATTTTTTGGAAAAGGTGATCCAAATAAGGCATTTTGGAGCACTGAAGATTTATTGGTTCTGATTAATTATGGAAAAAACCCTGGGATTTTAATAGATACATAAAAGGTAAAAGAGACCTTTTTAGATGAAAGATATTTTTATGGCATATAAATCAGACTTTAAAAAACAGATTTATTTACTTGAAAGGCAGAATTAGAGAGAGAAAGAAAAAGAGAGAGAGAGAGAGACATCTTCCATCTGCTGGTTCACTGCCCAAATAGCCACAACAGGGCTGGGTCAGGCTGAAGGCAGGAGCCTGGAGCACTATCCTGGTCTCCCATGTGGGTGGCAGGGCCCATGGACTTGGGCCATCTTTCAGTAGCTTCTCAGATGCATCAGCAGGGAGCTGGATCCAGTGGAACAGCCGGGACTCTAACTTGCACGGCTACATGGGCTGCCAGTGTCACTGGTGGCGATTTAACCCGCCGCACCACAATGCCAGCTGCACAAATCAGACATTTTAAGCTAAAACGCTTCCTTAGTGCTATCCAGCTTTTAAGATTTTTATCTAGTAGTCTTGTGGTACAGCACTGTCAATCATATGCCCCAGGAAATAACGCAGCCACAACTTTCAAATCCAGCAGCGGTATTAACGTTGGCTGGCAAACTGTGGCCACTTTCATGACAAAGGGGGTGGATCCAGTACCTACTGAATAGACACTTAGTGCATTTGCATGCCACTCAGCTCCAGGGCTCACAGGCAGCGCCATGTGATGCCAGGCGAGCTACAGCCCCGGTGAGGCTCCCGCCACCTGGGAGATGTCCACCAACACAGCCGACTCCCTGCCAGGGAGTAGGGCCTGGCACCTCCACGGCACAGAAAAGGGCTTTCATGTCAGTCCATGGACTGGGTTCCAGCCCTCACTATGCCCCCAGTTGGCTCTGTGACTGGATGACAAAATTCTCCAATTGGTCCTTACTTTTAAAATTTAATACATTTGGTTAATTTATTTATAGGATCAGTTATTTATAACATTGGCTTTAAAAGTGCCATGCTCCTTAAATTTTCTTTTTACAAAACTATTTTTTTTTGACAGGCAGAGTTAGACAGTGAGAGAGAGAGACAGAGAGAAAGGTCTTCCTTCCATTGGTTCACCCCCCAAATGGCCACTATGGCCAGCGCTGCGCCAATCCAAAGCCAGGAGCCAGGTGCTTCCTCCTGGTCTCCCATGTGGGTGCAGGGCCCAAGCACTTGGGCCATCCTCCACTGCATTCCCGGGCCACAGCAGAGCTGGACTGGAAGAGGAGCAACCGGGACTAGAACCCGGGGTGCCGGCGCCACAGGCAGAGGATTAGCCTAGTGAGCCGCGGCACTGGCCCAATACTATTATATTAGAAAAAAAAAAAGTTAATACCTGCAGATTGCAAAGAGTTTTATCGTTTCACGCATTATTAAGAATTTTATAATTACCTCAAATCCCATCACCGGGAGATCATTGTTAACATTTTACAGCTGGGTAGCTCTCAACTGAAACTGTATCTTCCTTCCCAACCTCTTGAGCCTTCAGCCAGCATGCGTTACTCCTGCGGGGACCCGCAATGAGGAGCGAGAACAAGCCCCAGGACCATGAGTGCGGATGCTGCTCCTCTCGGCCTTGTCAAGACACACACTCAACGTTCTCTGAAAACTTTTTGCCATTTTGAGGCTTCACCAGAAACACGACTTGCACCAGAGTTCACATTTATAATGTCCAGAAACTCTCATATCAAATCTATCCACTGAGGCCGGCGCTGCGGCTCACTAGGCTAATCCTCCGCCTAGCGGCGCCGGCACACCGGGTTCTAGTTCCGGTTGGGGCGCCGGATTCTGTCCCGGTTGCCCCTCTTCCAGGCCAGCTCTCTGCTGTGGCCAGGGAGTGCAGTGGAGGATGGCCCAAGTGCTTGGGCCCTGCACCCACATGGGAGACCAGGAGAAGCACCTGTCTCCTGGCTTTGGATCAGCGCGGTGTGCCGGCCACAGCGGCCATTTGGGGGGTGAACCAGTGGCAAAGGAAGACCTTTCTCTCGGTCTCTCTCTCACTGTCCACTCTGCCTGTCAAAAAAAAAAAAATCTATCCACTGAACAAAGGTTTGGTAGGCAGCCACTAAGAGCCAGGCACCACGCTAGGCACCGGGACCGGAGACTTAGAGGACACAGACGGTCTCTGGTGACAGGGGCTCACACTCAGGGGGATGACTTCAGGCTGTGGGCACCACTACA